ATGTCCTTTGTCCTTGCTACCAAGCACCTTTGCTCTTTATGAGTTAGACTGAAGCCTGAACCTGCCTGATGCAGCTGGGACTGGCCGTGGGCCAGCCATTGAGGTGCCCAATCCCCCCATTGGGCCTAATGCAAAACCCCAAATTGAGAACATCCTCATTTAGCCATCACCTAGCCCTGCAGGTGCCTAACTCACTAGGGCCCTTTCCATTTGGTTCCCTGGACACCCGGGGCTCCGGATCTGTCCATACCCAGAACGGCAGGCCTAATAACGAGTGTCCCAAAAGGGGACACTGAGCAGGGCACAGCGGCCAGCTCATCCGAGCCCAGAGAGCCTGTGAATGCTGCTCAGCGAAACTGCTTGGAGACGTGTACGAGTGAGCGATGGGGAAAGGGCCTCAAAGTTGCCCGGCTTCCTCCCACAGTGGGGTCAGCATCCAAACAGGACATCCCTGTGCTTCAGCACCCCGGGGGCCATTCCCCAAGCCACCACAGCACTCGGAGACAACATCAGGCTTCCCACAAATGCAGAGGAGGAGGAGGAAAGGACATTTCCTAGCTTTTATGCAGTAGCCTAGTGGTTAGAGCACTACCTTGTCCATGAGGGGCTGAGGTTTAATGCCTTCTTAACTTGTTGGGGTTCAAACCCAATCCTTCCACTGCCGGAAGTGCCCCTAAACACCAAGCTGAGAAGCCAGGCTCCCCGGTACACCCTCACTTCAACCAAAGGGACAGAGAGGACCCCGAGCCATCCCAGCCTGTCACCTCCATCCTGGGAGGTGGGATTTGAACCCTCTCGGGTGGGGGTTGTGGCTGCTCTAACCACTCGCGTGGCAAGAAAGGTGGGCCCAGGGCTCCACGGGAAGAGGAAAACAGGAGCCCTGCTCACAGGTCTGTGCAGATGCCCGCCCTCAGGAAATGATCCCAGGTTGCGGGTCCCAAGCAGATGAAGCGTGTTCATTTAGTGTTAAATACAGACCCCCATGCTGAGACGAGTGCTGGACCCCAGGGCTGCCCCTTTCCAGCTGAGAGTGAACCATGCGCTCCTGGCTGTGAGTGGCACAGCATAAAAGGAGACGGGTGCCCTACAACGGCCTGTGGCTCCCAGCTGCCCCTAAAGCGATGGGCGGTACGGGTTTGAATTCCAGTCTCCTTCCTGGGCATGTGCTGGAGCTACTAGGGACTTTTAATAAAAGGAAGGGCTGCTGCCACATTTTAGGAAGAGGGAGGGAGGAAAAGGGAAATGCAACCTGCCAATGCACTTTATCTAGGAACACGCTGCATGGCAGGGATCCCCTCCGGGGCTCGGGCAGCAGGAGCCCGAGTTTCTAGGACTGGCGTGAGCCAGGGCACTGAGCTGCTCGCCCTGGGGCAGCTTGGGGAACACCCAGAAGTAGAAACAGGACAGTTGCGATGCCCTGGGCAGCACCCTGGCAACTGCTAGTTTTGTGCCACATCTCTGCATTAGTGCCTAAGGCTCCTACCTCCCCAGCTTACTTACCCTACTGAGCAGAGCTGTAGGCACCAGCCAAACTTTTGAAGTCAACCAACTAATGAACAGGAGGGTTTGGGATCACACTTTGACTTGGGTGAATAGAGAAACCTAAATTCCTTATTGGACAGAGCCCCTGGTGATTCTCAACCAGGGCAACAAGAGATCCTCTGAAGGGTGCCGCACAATGACCGATGTGCAAATGCCTACACCGGACTCGCAAGAGAAACCCAGAGCTTCCCAAGAGGAGGCCAGTCTCCGCAACAGGCTGACCTGCTGCAGGCTTTCCGAGGGGTTTGCAACAGAAGACTTGTGCTAGGATTTTTCTAGAGTCAGGAAATGAGTGACAACTAAGAGCCCTCTGGGCTCATAGGAGAGCTATCTTTTATCAGACCAACAAGACTTTTGCAAACAAAAAAAATCTTTAATTGCAAGCTTTTGGGAACAAACACCTGACAGCTAAGAGCTGGTCTTTTCTGAGAGATGCCTTGCGTCTAGAAAGGTTGAGAGCCGCTGCCCTAATGACAGCCGCTGCTGGCACCAGATCCCAGCTTTCCCTTGCACTGACTAACTTTGGAGCCCACTGCACTCTACAGAGAGCAAGAGCCCAGTTTTACAGCTAAGGAAAGAGGCAGAGAGAAGCAACCTGATTTCTCCACAAGAAATCACTCCGGGGGCAGCCAGCACAGTTATTTCCTCCTATACAACAGCCTCTGGCCATCGTAGATGAACAGAGCAAAGCCACGCGCTACTCCCGGGAGCCAGAATGGCAGCCTTAATCTGCCAGCTCCAGAAATAAGGGTCTCTGCCGTATAACTGAAAGGCAAAGTAAACTCATGAAGAGGTCTGTTGTCTGAAAGGGGGGCTGAGTCTAAAGCTGTGCTTGCTCCTCTTAGCTCAGGCACCTGGGAGGCTGTTTCCTCTTGATAGAGGCTGGGCTATAAACGTGAACATGGCCCCTCCACTCCAGGCAGCGGAGCAGGTGGACGGATAGAGAGGCAGGGCCATCCGAAAGAAACCTCTCCCCGCCACCAAACCACAAGTCATGCACATCACAGCGGTGTTACCAGGGTTTGCACAAAGGGGGAAGAGCTTGAAAGGGCAGTCATGCTGGGAGAGAGACCCGGCCTTAAGAAACTGCTAGTGCTCACAGGAACAAAGTCTGTAGGAAACAGAGGGATGGGGGAAGAGATTTCCTTTTACTGCTGTCCCAAGTGCTTGATCTCTTCGGGCGGCTAGCAAATAATGGAAGATAAGCCTTATTAGAAACAAGCATGAAAAATTCTGGGAGCCAAACGCTGATCAATCTGGCAGCAGTATAGCAATCACCCAGCAGCAGAATACACAAGGTAGTAGCTACCAGGCTGCATTACAACCTCGGTCCTCCGCAGACGGCCTGCAGACTCGTGCGAGAGCTTGACAGTGTTCTCTGAAGGATACACACTTAGGGGGAAAGGGAGAGCCAGTGTGCGAGATGGAGAGGGGAGTGAGCGAGTGTGTGTGTTTTTAAAGGGACACCAGCATCTTTCTTTCCTACCCACTATTTTGTTCCTCTACGTGCACTGGAAAAATACCTAACTGTAATGAGGTGGAAAATAAAAGACAGGTTTTAAGTTCTTGGGAGGCATGTGATGAGCAGAAGCACACACGGGGGAAAGCAATACACAGTAAACTAGTTTTTTTGCTGCAATTTTTTCCATCTTTAATAGTTTAAAGTTTGTTCAGTAACAGTTAAGGCCATTTTTAAAATATATTATTTTATTTCAACATTATTTAACTTTGAAGCTGTGTTGGGGGGAAGGGGGGGGGGTTATAATATAAATACTGTATCCATTCCAGAGAGATGACACCTATTTTTATTGCGTTATAACTCCCATACAGTGCAATTATAACCAGACTAACATTTAACACGATTTGTTCTACCGCCCTGTTCTCAGCATCACCTTATTAAAAAAGACTTTTCTATAAAATCCAAACATGTTTTACATAGTGTATTTAAAAAAAAAAAAATCCAAAAGCCACTTTCAGTATAATACTTTTCCATTGTCTTTTTTAATGCAATTCATTCTTTAGGTCTTTTAAAAATCTTTAGATTAAAAAAATATTCTCCCATTTAGAATTTCTTTTTTTCCTTTGAAGTGCTTGGCTCAGTGCTGTTCATGCTGAATACAAATTAATTCACTGGAGAGCTACAGAGTACCAGCAAAATAGTGTTCATGTATTTTTTTCATTGTATTACAAACTGGAAGTCAGTTTAGTGTCAGATCTTTGTAGTGTAACTTTTTACTGTAGTAAATAGAAGAAAAGAGCCATGCCTCAATTTAGGATTTAAAAGGGAGTAGTAACAGGCCTGACTGGAAACCCCTTGACGTCAGTAGATGTCTTTCTATTGATTTTAAGGGTTTTTGGAGCAAGCGAATCATATGCACCTTTCCCAAAATCAACCCCCTGCCTCCCACCAAATTAGGGTGTATGTATTTAGTGGGGAAGCTAATTTTCTGCCCAGGATGGAAGCTCCGTGCTTTTATTTCTGCTCCACAGTGCAGCCACCGCGGCAGTAGTAGTCCGGCAGCTGAAGGAGTCAAGTGACGTAATGGCTCATTGTTTATGACTCCACAGGTGCCGATGATGGTCTCTCCATTTCGAATGGTCTTGATGTTCCGCTAATCAAGCTGACCTTTTAAAGTCCATTGCCTGATCCTGGTCTCCCTCCTCCTGTTTCAGAGCCCTGGACACTCTTTAGCTCTTTGCCAAATCAAAGATCCACCAATGGATCAATGCTTCAGCAGCAGCTAGGGTTTCATCTTTAGTTAAGCAGGAAAGGGAGCAAGTCAGCTGGAGATCAGGTTCTGTCCCTGCATCATGCAGCCATTAATGTAAAAATATCTTTTTTTCTTCATGCTGCCTTTCAAAAACAACATGCATATTATATTCTAGAATATAGTATATGTAAGAAGATACAGTGTTCATCCAGTTTATTTCGCCTAGATGGTGTTTGGCTGTGGAGCTTTTCAATATCAAGGCTGCAAGGGTCACATCAGATGAAACACAGCTCAGTCATCTTGCTGGGATCCTATGACCCCAGCTGACTACCCCTGGAGCAGGGGGCTGGACTCGATGATCCTCCGGGATCCCTTCCAGCCCAAATCTCTATGAATCTATGAATCTATGAAGTATCCTTGTCTCTTCTTAGATTTGAAATACTATTAAAAATCCCATACCTCTCTTTAGAAATAAAGCTAAAAATCAAAGGAATTAAGGTTCATTACAACTAAAATTTGATTTGTCGAATAGTCACCAAATTATCATTGGAAAAAAAATCAGAACAGAAATGCCAGGCTATTTTCATCATTGGGACTGGAGCTTACAGACATAATACAAAGTATTCACAACAGCCTTAGGGGCTTTATAAAGCACTGCTTCATCCCAGGGAAGGCACTGATGAGTTCCTGGAGCAGAAGAAAGGTCACCTTGGGTTCGTTTAGGAGCTACAGCAGCATCCATTAGCATTTGAAAGCTGGGCTCCTTGGCTGCATTTAATAATTGTCCTGAATCCTAATGTGCACAAACAACGTGGCAGATGGATGTGGGTCTCCATTTCTGTTCAAGAGATGGATGTGGCGGTAGCCTGGAATGAGAAGATACAGAGGCACAGGTATTTAGCTCCAGCGGCTGAAGGGTTCACTGACTCCGCATGCTTCTCATACAGTGAATGTAAAGATGGAAGTTAGTCCCTTGGTTTTTCTAGACAAGGCTACGACAGCACTCAAAAACGGTGGCCACCCCTTCCAACTTTCATTTCCTAGTCCCCCCATTTTCCCTCATCCCCCACCTTTAACAACAGGCCAAATACAACAAATAAGGCACTGAATTGTATTACACTACAGTGGTATCCTACAGCCCACAACAAAGCTTTACTTTTCTACAGCCCCTCCAGCCACAGAGTTCACTGAGAAACACTAAGGTGCTCATGCCCCGTGGACCAGGGTGGATCAGAGAGATCTCAGCGAGAGGCGCTGGCCTTGTCACGTGGCCAGTGGGAGAGCCAGCTCCCAAATCCTAGGACCCTATGTTAATCTTTGCTTCCCTGTAGCCAACAAATAATATAAGCTGTTTTTAAAGTCTGCATTTGTCCCTTTGTCCAGCTCTACTTGTGCTGGGCATTAAGTTGATGGGAATACAACTGTCAGAGCCTCAATAAGACCCGAAAATTCAGGTCTGGCACCTTTAGACTACAGGAGATCATTCATAACCACATCCATTCACATCCTGGGTTTTATGCTGCACCTGAAAAGTTGGCCCGAGCTGTGTGCTGACTCAAACAGCAGAAACCTGACTTTACAGGGCCTGCTCATTTCCTGCGGGGCCCGGGTTTCTGCGGGCGGTTAAATGTGAAACTACAGACAGGCCAATCAGAAGTTGGTCTGTTTTACCTCTGCTGTCTGAAGTTAAAGCCGTTCAAGCCTCAGACTAAATTCAAATCACATCCTGCTTCCGGCGGCTGCCAGGGTCCCCAGGTGTGCAAGAGCCCACCGTACGCTTTGTTGCTGGGTATTACCAGGTCCTCAAAATGGTGACACCGTCCTTCAGTGGTCGGTGCAATGGGACCTACAGGACCCTGAAGCCCAGCATGGGCAGTCTCCGAAAGCCAAGCGAGCCTGGTCTAGGGAGATCAGCTTCAAACACAGATGTAGAAACAACAAAGGCAGCTACCGAGAGAGAAAACAGCCCCATGGTCACAGTGGTGAGCCTGGGACAGCCCAGGCTGCTCTTCTGTCCAAGGCGCTGTAGTGCACCAGGGCCCAGCAGCCTGGGCAGCTCCGACCAGGCTCTGCTTCCCACGCGGCTCCTTACCTTGCTGTAGGCTAGTGAAGGGCAGGGTATACTGCCCAATAAAGTCATTCTTGGTTGACACGTCAAAGTCTTCCACCATAAAACGGACCAGGGTGAGCGCAGGGACGTCAATGTTGAACTCGAACTCCTCATCCCACATGGGGTTAAACCCTGAACAAGGAAAGAGAAAAGGAGCAGAAAGCAGAGGGAGACATGCAGTTTAAGCCTTGCTTGGTGTCCTTCAGACAGCTCCGTTTTTGCCCCAGCAGTGCAGTTTGACCGCAGGACCAGCCAGAGGAGCGGACCGGCTTTAACATCCAGGTGTGAAATCCTGGCCCTGCTGAAGTCAATGGGAGTCTTAGATGGAGCTCAGATTTCACCCGATGAATCCATAAACTCATTGCAATCAGGCAAGCCACAAAATCATTTCCTAGAAACAAGCAAGAGGATCTTCTCCAGCATGTCTAACCAGACCTGGGTTCCCAGTGCCCCTCAGCCTCCAGGGCATCTCTCTTGCCCATGTGGCATTGCCCTTCTCTCTCTAGTACCCTGCAGCAGCCCCCTTGCAGTGGGCCGACTCCGTGGTGTGCAGCGAAGGGAGTATCTGCTCTGTGGGGCTGCGGCCCTAGCGGAGGCCTCGGACTTGCACGTGAGAGTTAGCAGCATTACCCCTTGCCACGTGTTCATGTCAAGGGGTTACTCAGGTGACAACAAAGCTGCAGGATCCAGCACTGAACAACAATACCCCAGATCGACTCAAGGAACGCAACAGAGATCAGAGATCAGTCTTTCACCCAAGCCCTGTATCTGGACCCCGACTGCATTTGGGGTTGTTTAAATAAGGGCCAGGTCCGGCCAGATTGCTGCTAGTGCCAGGAAATATGTGACTTGGTAAAATGCACAATCAAAGCTGAGTTTGTCACAAAGCAAGCAACAGCTTTAATGAGGAAGGACTTCCATTCAAGACCGTCTGAATGAGCAGAAGGCTTAGTGCCGTCTCGATCACCCAGGTTTATTCCTGTGATGCTGAAGAGTCGCTCCCGAGAGACCATCCTCGGCAGGGAGGGAGCCACGCAGGTGGATCTGGTCTGAAGCCTCCTCTAAATAGGCAGGCAGAGGACTCGAGCCTCCTGGGTGCGGTGTCCTCAGTAACATGCACAGGAGGCGAGATTACAGCAGGGCTGGGCTCAACCTTTCCTGAATGAGAGCCTCCGTTAAATACCCCTGGTTTGCTGGATGCCTCTGTAGCCTTCACCAAGGAAGGCTTTGTGGCTAGTCCAAGTTCAGTCTGTTCTCAAAAGATGAAGACTGCCTGGACATTTAGACTTGTACAAACCCATGCCTTAACCCCTTTGTTCCTGAACCAACATCAGCATCAGCAGCTCCAAGCGTTCTCAAGTCATGAGGCAGAATCCACAAAAACCTCCATGAGATTAATTTAAAAATAGCCAGAAAACAATAAACATGGGGATGCTTTCTATTTGCTGCCTTGTTTCTGGGTCTTTAAGATACACTTTCAGGCTTAAAGATATGTTCTGGACATATTTTCAGGCCTTTATAAAGTCTGCAAAAATGAGGGATAAAAAACTGCATAAAAACATTTTTAACGAAAGCAGAGATTTGCATGAATCCCAGGATTCACGGTGCTGGGGTCTTAAGAAAAAAATGAAATGATTGTAAGACTTGCAATAAAAACTGTGAGCTGACATCAATGTAAAATATATCTAAATGAGTAAGAAGGATTTCTTTGGCTTTAGAAGGACATTTTAGAGAGCCCTGTAGGCTCTCAATGGATGCTGGAAATCTATTGTGTGCCTCTGAAAATGTCTCCTTTTGGGTGTTAACCTGTTGACTCCTAGATGAGATCAGCTGGGAGTGCCTCTTTCCTCCAAGATATTCGACACACTATACGATGTACCTTCTTACCACATGGGTGTGTGCACTGCTGCATGATATGATCGTTTGACTGTACATCGCAGTGAAAAGGTTGAACAAATATCCCCATAGCTTGTTTATGAAGACCAGTTTCCTTGATATCACAGGTCAGAACAGCCCTTTTAATTAACACCTAAAAGCTCTAGAGCATTCAGCCTATTCACACCTTGTGGGAGGCCAAGGGAAAGTTGCCTACTGTACCAAAACTGGTTTGACACCCTTAGCCCCAAAGCAATGCAGTCAGCTGTTGGGGGGACTTACAGGTGGCAAAAGCAAAGGCTGAATATTGTCCCCTGTGGTCACCATATGGTAATAATCTAATAGCCAGAAATGCTGGAGACCCTCAGCTCCCATTGAATGTGTCCTCTGATCTAAGACTCACTCCTGTAAGATGCTAAGTATTCCTCTGGGGTGGGGAACTTGTACCGACTTTGAGGGAAGACACTCGAAGCCAGATATTTAGACAACAATGGGAAAAAATATGATGAAAGACTTAGAGCACCAACAGAAGAACAAGTAAGCTCTTACGAGATAAATGGGAAAGGAGCTTTATGGTACGTCAGCTGCTCTGCGTTTGCACACTCTTACCCCGTGGGAGATAACTAACCCATGGCAGGGTGAAGGAGCTCAGGAACTGAGTTGCTGTCCACGGCCAGTCTCACAGGGTTTGGGCATGGTCTCTGATCCATGCCTCCATGCCCCATCAACCACTGTACCTACCAAGGGGTGCTAAGCTAAGCTGCACTTTGGCAGGGGTAGTCACAGGGAAGCGGGCTAGGTGTGAATTACAATGTCTTGGGACTGCTCCACAAACCTGAATTCCCCCTTACCGTTGTTTTCAATGACCCTGGTTTGTTTCTTGTCGCTGTCCTGCTGAACCCCGTAGATCTCAACTGTGACCCTGGGATCCACAATGGAGTTTTTGCCTTTGTTCACCTTGGGTAGCTGCTGGCCAGAGATGATCTGCAGGAGAGGAAAATCACGTGCATTGAGGATGGGGCTCAATCTGGACGACTGTCATCATTTTCCTTTGGACTGCAGCCTTCAGGGATACAGGATGTGCCACAGCTGGCCTAGTTTGTTTATGACGATGGTGGCTTTGGTGGAAGTGGTGACAAGAGCAGGGTGGACCTCGTCCTCTGCACAATGTCCCACTGGAGACAGGGCAGGGAATGACTTCTGTGCCTCCCCTTGCACTCAGGTCATACCCAGAAGCAAGTGATGCCTCATGGCCAAATACATGTTTGTGACTGTAACAGTCAGGCAATATGAACATCCCACCTTTTATCTAACACCATGCAAAGCTGAAGTCATTGAAAAAAGGGGTCTATGATTCTTGATTCTGCCACCCCTGTTCGTTATTATTTGCATTGTGGCAGCACTTGGCGGCCACAGGATCCCAAAGAAGAAAACTACATTTATGCCCCTCATCTGGCAAGCTTACAGTGCCACACACCCCAGTTCTGCTAAGACTTACACATTGTTTTCACTCTACATATGCTGAATATGCCCCTTCATACACACCTCATGCCTAAAGCAAAGTAAGTACATGCATACTTCTTTGCAAAACTTGTATGTGGCTTTGCAAGTGGTCCCATTGCCTTCAGGAGGTTTGCTCACAGGGGTCTTAATTCAGATTAAAGTCAACAGGACAAAAGCAAGTGCTTGACTGCCTTGATTAACTGAGACCAGGGCAGGTTCTGTTCTCTGTGAGCCCATGTGGCAAAATTCAGATTCACAGAAGCAACCAGGGTTTGTGCGGCTGTTACACTTTACCAGATCTGATTCTTACTTTAACCACCAGTTTCTTCTGCGTCCACCATGCTCCTTCCACAATCGATTTTGGATTGAATGTGGTATCCACGTCCCGAAGGAATTCAGGCTTTAGGACGTACCCCGAAAAGCCATTGTCCTGGAATCTACCCTGGTAGAGGTCCATTTCGTTGCCTGGGGTCTGGAAATTCAAGGCAACTAGAACAAAAGAATGCATAAATTCACTTTCATGGGTGTCAACACACGTGGTTCTGTAGTGATTTAGTTCACACAGACAACTACTCTTATGGCTATAAAGATTTGCTTAACAGCAATACAGTTTGCTTCCTGTACAGCCTGTCACCTGAGAGTTTTACAAATTGTCAAACCCAAAGCAATCACTATGATCATCTAATCCAATCCATCTAGGCCAGGGAATTTTATCCAATGATTCCAGACTCCAGCTTGTGCTTGAACAAGTGCATCTTTCAGAAAAGCATCTAGCCCTGCATTAAGGGCTTCAGGAACTCACTGTATCCCCTGATTAGTTGTTCCAATGGCTAATTGTAACCCAACTTTTATTTCCAGCCTGAATGTATTGACCTTCCATTTCCAAACACTGGAATTGCCTCTGCTTCAGTCTGCTAGGTGTCTGCTGGAGGAAGAGCCCTTCATTTTCAGGAACCTCCATATATGTACTTGGAGACAGAGAATAAGTCATCTTCTATCTTTCTCTTGAATGAGATAAATAGATTGAGCTTCATTAGTCTCTTCCCATAAGCCAAGCTTTCCAGACCTTGAATCATTTTTTGAGCCCTCCCTAATTAACAAACATCCTTTTTTACAGCGTGGACACCAGAACTGGACAAAGCCTCCAGCAATTGCCTCACTAACATCGTGTGCAGAGGTAAGCCCCAATTCTCTGTTCAACATATTTCCCTGCTTACACATTGTGCCTAGGATTACATTTTACTGGGAGCTCACCCTCAGTTGGTTATCTACCATAAACCCCAATCCTAAGTTCCCGACCAATGATTCAAAAACTTCAGCCTCTCAGACAATGCTTCTCATGCATTGAGGGCCATAAATACATGCAATACAGTGACCCGATTGGTAACCTTTGAAAATCAGACTACTTAATGGGGGGCTCAGATAGGTGGCTCATTTTAAGAAGCTAACTTTGACAGTGATGGCATCAGCAAATTCTTCCATGTCAGTGGGAGTCAGGAACAAAACCTGGCATACTGAGTTCCCCATCGCGCCCTCTGGTCATTAGACTCTGCTTCCTCCCAAGCTGGTGTGGAACGGGCTAAAATGCTTAATTTCAGTAATAGCATTCCAGAACTCTTGTTTTTCAGACTGTAATTCCTCAATTTTCTAGTGGTCCTAGAGCTTAAAAGATTATGACTTTGGATGCAGAAAACAGCTGCAGGAAACAGGGAAGCAGGGGAGGCGCACCTAGGCCAAGGGTCAGGGAGGATCTAGTCAGGGAACTTCTGGAGGGACCAGATGTATTTAAATCAGCTGGTCCGGACGATCTCCACCCCCGAGTGCTGAGGGAATTGGCAGAGGTCATTGCAGGACCCCTGGCACGGCTGTACGAGCACTCGTGGTGCTCTGGTGTGGTGCCAGAGGACTGGAAGAGGGCCAGTGTGGTTCCCATCTTCAAAAAAGAGAGGAAGGAGGACCCGGAAAACTATAGGCCAGTTAGTCTTACCCTGACCCTGGGCAAGCTTTTTGAGAGAATTATCCTGGCGCATGTCCACGAGGGGCCAGCAGGGGAGATCATGCTCAGGGGCAACCAACACAGGTTCATTAGCGGCAGGTCCTGGCAGACCAACCTGGTGGCCTTCTACGACCAGA